TCACTTTGTTTCAGCATTTTCTGGGACGTTATCTTTTATGTGCTAAAGAATTTAAGAAACCCTGATGTTGTGTTAGCAAACTTTTTTGGCTATTTTGATATTTCAAGTCATATATAACTGCTGTTCCTTGTAATTTTTCTTTATAGTTAAGCCTTGTTCTTTCTAAAGGTTTTTTGGTTATCCAAGAAATCTTGTCACATTTTATTTATTTAGTTACTTTCTGTCTTTCTTTCCTCAAAAACATTATTTTACATCAGTATATGGAACTGTCAAGATTTGTAGATGCAAAGCTAATTAAAATATTATAAAAATAATGTGACGCAGAAGCTTAATAGCTTGTGAACTGAAATGAAAGAGAATTAATAAAATGAGAAGTTGTACATAATATTTTTCAACTTAAACAAAGTATGTGTATATATTTGATGTGTATTCTTCTTTTTGCAGGCAGTGCTTCGGCTTCGAAGATCAGAAAAATTAGTTGGAAATTTGTTTTTAAAGCAGCACTGTTGATGTCTTAACAATGGTTTGTTCACTTTCTCAATAATTTTATACCTACATATGAACTATTTCCAACAACACATAAGCAAAAAAGGTGAACCATTCTATAGAACGTCAATTAATAGTATTTGCCTCACACTTAGAAAAATCCCATCTTTGGCCGTTCTTTGTTATCTATGCTTACTGAAAGTGGGTGTCTCTCTGTAGCAGCAAGATGTCCTTCTATCCACTGGTTTAGGTAACAAATTGTGATTGTGATAAAGCTACAAAGTTACCAGATGTCAAGCTCTACTGTCATTGGGTAAGGCAAAACCACTCATGGCCTAAAGGGCAATGTGTCGGTAAACAGGGTTTCAGGAGCCCTATGTGTAACAAAAGTTGGAATTTTTGGGGCATGTTATGAGGAAAGAAAGTTTGGAGATATTAACCCTCACAGGAAGAATTGAAGGGAAGAAAAGCAGAGACCTTGGAAAGTGATTTATAGAGCCCTTCAAAACGTAAAAACAATATTACCACGAAGCAAAATAAACTTTTGACATTTGTTGAATTAACTTGATCAAGCATAAACAATCTTCCCAACAGACCGCAATAACATGATTTGCATAAGATAACCCCTTGAGAAAAAATTCATCAAATTCAACGTTGTATTTTTTATACCATTTTTAATCCAATAGCCCTCTAATAACCACCAAGGACACAGGCCATCGAGTGCATTCTCCCGCAGATTTATTTGATTTTCGCAAGCATTAATATTCTATTGAAGTGTAATTTCCTGTTTTTTCTTAATAATTTAAAATCACCTGTGCAAATCAGCAATCACATTTCTGTCCAAATTATCACATTAATTTTCAGTTTTCATTTCTGTTGAGAGTAGTGGATGTTCTAGGGTGTCTTATAAAATGGATAGCATTAAAGGAAATAAAGTTAAATGTCCAACTTAAACCCATGCGTTTTGATGAAGCAATATTTGAATCTGAACATAACAGTAGTGATACTGGCAGTGATAAAATCTCATCAAGCGATGGCAACTTACATATCTAGAAAAATCTGAACAATTTAGAGGTGCAAAATAAAGCGCCTAGAGTTTCTAAGGGGCTCTTTTTATGGAGCACCTTCATTCTGCTTAGAGCATTTTGCTAATCATTGTTTTCAGTCTTGTTCTGAACAAAACTACCCACATGAGTACATCTCGTGTTTATCTTCCCTATATTTTACCTTAATATGCATGTATTCACCATCTGCCTATGAATTTTCATGCACCTTTTTGTGAAGCTGCAGCTCTATCATAGTGCCTAAAGTATTTGTCCAATAGGAAAAACAGTCATTTTAATATACCTCATGGTTTATCTTTGGAGTTCTTGTGTTTATCATAAGGTCTTCATTGATTGACAATAAGGTATATAATGGACTTTCAGATTTGACAGCTTAGAAAAGACCAATCAAAGACAAAACTTATCTAACTTGCAGAGGTCTATTTATCTATGTCTGCATTTGGAAGACCTATCTTTAACAATTTTATTTATTTTCTTCTTTATAGTGGAAGACTCAGAGCAATGGTGTTCACAGTTTTGAGATTTGAAACACATTCTGCTTTGTAACTAGGAAGTGGCCTGGATATGTTAAGGATATCTTAAGTACAGAAGGTCTTTTTTGCTTAATGGGAACAATGACTTACAAGAAAATATATAAAAACTTTTGTCTGATTTTAAATTGACAGTAATGGTTATTTGTGCAAAATATAAATATGAAAGCAAAAAATTAATTTCCATCTTGATTCGGATTATGTCAAGCATTTTTGTTAGGCCTCTCTTATTTTCTTCCATGAACGTCCTTTGATAACTGAATTGGTATTCTCAAAGGAAAAATTAGTATGTGTAAAACCTCATAGCAAGGAATTTGGTGTTGTCGGTGTAGATAGGAAGGGCTTTATCTGCTTCTCTTGCATCTCTGGCTGCCACTCATGTTCCCATGTTGAAGCCATCAACTCCCTAATTGATAACCAGTCTGAGGAAACCCCAGACTTCAAATGGTGCAAAGGCATGATGTTCTCAAGAAAACCTACCCGAAAACGTACACCAGGTGTTCTCTCTCGACAAGACGGATTTCGTATGGCCCTATGGCCTCACAAGCCAGCATATTCAATGGCAGATTTATTGTTGATACATTGACATTGCAGGAAGACGATAAGTTGTGCCCTGATTTTGCGTATAGTGTATGCCCATCCTGTGATTATGATATTAACGAGGCAACGATTGATTGGAGTGGATCATCTCACAGGCTTTTTACCACAAAAATGATACTGGCTGTGCAAGGTGATCTATGAATTTTTGAGATCTTAGACTTTTTGAATCAAAGACCGAGATGCAATTTTTTGTTTGGGGTGTGGGCAGCCCTAATAAATAGATGTAAAAACAGTCATGTTTTACAAAGTAAAAGTATTTTACTTATACCAGCTAAGTTTTTCGGGAAGGGGGCAAGGCCTCTCGGTCCTTGTTTTGAATAGTTAAAAAACTAATTTATATAGACATGCAGAAAATTATACAGAAGACTTGATCAATATGTAGCAAACATGATTTCCTAGGTCAATGGCCAATTGAAATGCTAATCGGCTTAGTATATGTTGATGTCACGCATTAGCTAACTGTAGGAAAAGAAGATGCGAACCTGTGAGAACTTTGTGTTCTGTTAACTTTATTAAGTTAATCTTTTCTTGAAGAAGCAATTATCAATTATCACAACGTCAAGTAGCCCTTACTTTGATTAATGACGAAAGAGATATATTTCCTTTTTATTCAAACCTAAATTAATTTTTTCAGTGCCGTACAGAAGATGCCAGAATGCGCAGTGTGGTTTGATTCAACCATATGATGGTTGCGCAAAAGGAATTTTGAACATGGGCGAGTTTCTTGTTGGGCACGATGTGCTGAGAGACTATATGCTTCATTTTCTTCATGGCCACAGGTACCCTTTTGCTTCTCATCAGGAGATTTTCATTGAAGAAGAGAATTTTCTCGTAAATCTATATCTGATAACTATTTGACTCTGTTGAAGTTTACGTTTTCCTCTTGCCAACATCAATGCATCCTTGCATATGAATATGCCATATGCAAATACATTTTTACATGTTCACTTTATCTATTCTTCTTCTACAATGTTCCTTACAGCCAAAGCCTTGTCAGCTACCTGAAGATATGGAAACTCAACCTACGTGCCTCAAGATTTGATGTGTCACACTGTTTGACGTATGACCAATGGCGAATGGCCTGGTACTCATTTATTCGGCTACTAGACGTTGATTTCATTTCCAGGTTTTCTTGTTCTAAGTGTGGACAATATCCTCCAATAATCTTATGCGATGCAACATCACTTGGCTATCGGAGGAAATATTCTCGAGGCCTTCAAGAGCTACCAAACGAGGCCAACCCTGTAATGCTGAATGGAAGATAAGTGATAGATATCTTTTTTGTGCTTAAAGATAAATTTTTCGTACATTATAGTATTGCTACCGTGATGGGCTACTTCAGTTCCACATCAAGAATTTTTTCTTCTGAAAGTTATTACGTAGACTATTGTAGTCAATATATGAGCAATTCTTTATGAAAACTTCTGATCTTTATGAAAACGCGGGCCAGTTCTATGCTTTACTCTGTCAGATTCTGAAGCTTTCTCATTTTAGTTAATTCTATTTGCTGGCGATAATAAGAAGAGTGCAAAATTTATTCTTTCACTTCTAATTCAAGATTTCTTTCTTTGGTTTGGTATCATTACTAGCTTCAGCCAACGAGTTTGTATCAAGAAGAGGAAAACCAGGATGTTACTAAGAAAACTTGTTTCATCGAAATATTTGGAATGCGTAGAAAGAGCATCACTAAATACACTTCTAAGCCACGAACATCCAAACATTTTGCACGTGCTTGAAGCTTGTGAAGAGCTCTTTCAAGGCTGTGAGCAATTTCCAAGGAGCTATGTACCTTCTTCAGGTGCATTTCATCAAATTCGCCGGTTTGTTCTTATATACCACCGACAGCTTCCTTCAATCATTTGGCAGCACGTTTATCCTCTTGGCTGATAATAAGGAAAGACCCAGAAGCTCTATCCGAGCTTCAGATTTGTGCCCCCATTGTTTATGGAGTTATAAAATGTCTTCCTGCTGCTTCTTTGCCACAGCCGTGAATCACGTTGCTTGAAGAGCTAATTGTGAAGTCAAGGTATGTCACAGATTTCCAGCCTCATGACACCTCAACATTGAACAGTTTCTTGTCCAAAAGTTTGAGCTTCTTTCCTTCGTGGCCACAGCTATCCGACCGTGGCTCCTACACAATGGATAAAATGAAGAGCGACACCAGGGAGGAATGTGCTAAAACATATCGAGGTCATCCAAATTTGTTGCCTGGTATATTCACAGTTTACTGTCAACACGGTATTCTCTTTTAATTAATGTTCCTTGCTTTAGAAAAAATGTGTCATTAAATTGTAGCATATATATCTGAGGTGCCCATTTGGAGTTAACTTATCAGTGCAATTACTCTTCAGAGAAAATTGTATTGTTGTCCACTTGAACTTTCCACCAAACATATAGCATGGTTTCCGTTTGTTGTAAAATAGTTAGTCGTCATCCAAATGATTCAAGGAAATCTCATGAGTTATTAACAAACCTGACATAAATCGTTGCTTCAGAAAGGATGATGATGTCAACAGCTTCCGCGATTAAAAAATAGTGAACTTTCTATGAACTCGTTCCGTATGACCTCCCGTTTGGCAACTTTTGCTCTTTCTTTCCAAAATTTTGTTTTAGGAACACCTTTTTTATCTATTCAGAAATCTGCTACGGTTTTGAAATGATGCAATGCCAAGAGTCTACTAATGTCCCATTCACAATTATGCGAACTTAATTGCCAGAAGGTATTTATACAGGATTTATCACATCAAGCTATTGTCATAATAAGCGATTTGATCTTGTCTTATTAATACGTGCTGTTATCTTCAAGAGGTACAGAGATAAAGTTTCATAAAGTTTTCAGGTCATTCCGTTTTCGTAGTCAAAACGAGATGTGTTTCCAGATTGGTTCAGATTGAAGGATTGTTTTCAAATGACTCCACTTTTTGAATGCCTCCACATTTTCAGCATCGTTTCGGAGTTTGGTATCGAATGACAATGTTTTCGAAACTAGCAATGGAAACGCAAAATCCATCTTGGGAAAACATCTGGTAACAATGTGAAGCCAATTATGTCCAAATATGTAAATGCAGCAAATAACAGGATCTTTTCCAAACTGAATTATTTTGGTTTGGAATCAACGAAGATTTTCTCCTGTAATCAGGCTCATCGTTTCTTCTCGATTGTGTCGATTTATTTTTCTATCTTTATTTTAATTTTGTTTTAAATTTTAATACCGAAAGCAGTGTAAAAATTGATATGTTTAAAAGCGTTTTTCATCATGTCTTTCATCGCTTATTGTTTCCTCTTACAAGTAATTTGTTGGCCTTCTCGTTGGCCTTTTTATTTCTTTTACAGCCCCTGAAGCAATAATATATGATAACTGTTGCCATCTGCATCATTACTGCTTAAACAGAGACCCTGGCTTCTTTAAACAATGCAACTTTTTAGTAGACAGATTCCGCTGGAAGAATCATAAAGGTTTGTAAATTGTTGTTGTTGTTGAAGCAGTTGCAAATAACTGTGCCCCCTGTGATCAATATACGGATGAAAGATATGCAACAATCTTTGTTCTACGTTGTTATTTACCTTATGGTCTTTTTTCTTGCGTCGAACAGTGATACCACATCTTTTTATTGATCATTAATTTGAATAAAATCAAAATCAGATTAAAGATAATTTTTCAAATGGAAATGAGTGTAAACAAAAAGAGCTCTCATTTCAGCTCGACATACAATCGAATATAATGAAGAATTATTGCGTGACAGTTCTTTATGATTGGAAGCTAACTCAAATTTATAAAGCCAGTGATAGTTACAATACGAAAAGATTGTCGAAATAGAGGGATTTGAATTGTCAACGATAGGCTAGGAAAGCAATATATTTGATAGAATTTATGTTAGGCTTTGTCCAATTGGTAAGAGGACAGAGCTGTCCCTGCAATCTCAATGCGTCAAGGGCCGTTTGAATTAAAGGTATTTTTCTTATATTTAGCTTGTGCTGAAAGCTACAATGCTTCTACTCAACCAGCATATGACCGAATCAACACCCAAATCAACGAGCAGAGAAATGCACTGAAGACGCTCAAGAGTCAAGTGTCGTACATGAATGAAGAGAATTTTCTCAGCCACATCAAGCTGCTTCTTTTTCACTGCAATTACACACTTAAACAAGAAAAAGGATTCTAGAGCTTCAAACATTCACCCTTTTCTTACTTAAACGCTTAACTTATTTGACTCCCTATTCATTTGCCATGAATAATTCATTTGATCTTATTTTATCATCATAAATAAAAATTGCAAACTTTTCTGGTTTTTTCAAGGGTGTGAGCCCTTACATGAGAAACTTTTCTTATAAAAAGCAGCATAAGATAAATTATTCTACAAATAAATAAGACGATATTAAGAAAAAAGTTAATCTTTGTCTATTTTGAGAGAGAAATTAACCAACCTTTTTGTTAAAAGTATCAATGTTTTTTGAAAAAATAGGACTTAGCAAAAAAGACGGTGGTTATGTATGTGCCATATTACAGTTTATCGCTTCAAAAACGCCTTTAATTGGAATATGTTGAATTTACGATGTTCATGGAATTATTTCAATGATCAGTGACGATAAAAGAACTTTTTGCGTATTTTTCCTATCAAAGTGTCGTAACATTGGCCCTTAGCATGACATAATTTGGTCAGCTATGCGCCATTCCAATTATTATTGGTACAAGAAACAATTTGTAAACAAAATTTTTATCTCAAGACACAAAGAGATGATTGCAATTATGAATAACGACAAGCGAACAATTTTGTTATTTTTTCAATCAAAGTGTCGTAACATTGGCGCTTAGCATGACAAAGTTTAGTCAGCTATGCGCCATTCCGATCATTATTGGTACAAGAAACAATTTGTAGACAAAATTTTGATCTCAAGACACAAAGAAATGATTGCAATTATGAATAACGACAAGGGAACAATTTTGTTATTTTTTCTATCAAAGTGTCGTAACATTGGCGCTTAGCATGACATAATTTGGTCAGCTATAACGTTCGGCTTATCGATAAATTAGAAACACTGGGCTTCTTTTCCGTTTATTTTGCCTACAAATCTTATTTTCTTGATTAATTACATACTTCTCCACGGGTACTATCTAAAGCTGATACTAGATATTCTCGGTGAAGGTTATAGGCAGGTTTTGAGATTTACATTAAAAATTGACGCATGACAATTTTGATAATGCAAAAAAGTACCCAAGCACTTCAATAATAGGGTACCAAAACGAATGGTGGAACTTAGCATGCAAAACGGTCCAGGAACACAAACACATGACAACTTGTTTATGCAAAAACGTACCAAAGCATTTAAACAACAGGGTACCAAAACGAATAATGGAATTAAGCATGCGAACTGATCCGGGTACACAAATGTTCTGGTTCATATTGTTCAGAATGTAAAGAACAATTGAACTATTTTTATAAAAAGGGTGCTAAACGGTGCTGTGATTTCCGTTGTTAAGTTTATGCAAAAAAGTAAAACATTAATGGCGACTCCAAAGTTTGCGTAATTGACAAGTGTGAAATATTAAATTCTTAAAAACGTGTCAAACATCGCACAATGATGAAATCACACGATCTGAAACACATTGCGTTTCACAATGTTACACTTTTGCATAGGGTACCAAAACGTATATTACATCGGCAGGGAGTCATTTGAAATTTCTGGGGTACACTTGCCTCTCCGTGACATTCATAGCCTTATCTGTGCCTTTCTTTAGTTGCTGAGGGCTTTTGGGTGATACTTTTTGGTCTTATCCTCATCTCATCCCCACTGCTTGCTAAAGCTATTGCTTTGGAAACTTTGAAAGCAAAACCCGACAAAACTTTACTTTTCGAGAATATGCCGATAAGAATTTTCTAGGGGGTGGTGCCACACTCCCGCATCCCTCGCTAGCGACGGCCCTGCTGCGAGGAACATTTAATTGGGAATGTTACAAAACAGTCCTCCCCATTTTTTTTGCAGTAATAGATTTGATAGAAGAAAGAAAATAGAAGAAAAATTTTTGAAAGTTTATGCTAACTAACCCATTAGTAGCAGTTCTGCTGGGAACCCGTTTTTGTTCTTTTTCATTCTGTTTTATCTTGTGTGGTCAAGGATTTTTTGTTTTTTTATATTAATTGATATCTTCTCTGAACCGGTATGTTTATGAATAAGGACTGAAAGAAGCAAGTATTTTCTGAAAGGGGTGTTTTACGTTGTTTCAAAGGGCGTTGCCGTAAAAAAATTTATGTTCGCGCCTCCTAGCCTCGTTCCAGCCACTCCCTTGTGGGCTGGTGCCAATGTGACCTGATCTAGCATAATATTATGGTTTTAGCATAACATTGGCCAAAAATCGTTATTTAGCATAAAATCTTGCATAATTTTGACATTTTTTTGAAAATTCATTGTTCAATTGAACCTTTGTCTATCGTTACCAAATGGGAGTAAATTGGGACTTTCCACTTTCAGGATTTTGCCAGATGTTTGGAATGATTGTCAGCCATATATTTCATGGTTTGCGGCCAAATTCAGTCAGCTAAATGCAGTATACAAAAAAGCTAAATGGTTTCTAATTGTGGGGAGTGATAGCGTAATCAAAGTTTGCTTTGTAGGTTACAAAAGTTTTCACTTGTTTTATCTTAAACTGTCTGTTATCTTTCACTTTCTTTCATCATTCATCATTTCCAATTTTGAAATTATTTCAAAAAGTTTTGAATATTATCTGTGCAAAAATTTTTGTTTCCTTTGCATTTCGTTGTTTCTTGCAACATGCGGCCAGAATTCAGCCAAATTTTGCTTCCTCGGTCAAATCAATTTATGACGGCGAAGGGGTTTCGAAAAACTGCCAAAATTGAGAAATTTGGCCTTTAAAACCATGAAGAATGAGTACACTGGGTTTTAGATGATTGGTCAAAAAGGCCAAATAGCAACTCTGGCCACTTTTGATATTCTGAGCATGTGTTAGCCTCTTTCTCGAGCGGGGTTGCCTTGATTTAAAAATCAGCATATTTTTTGCAAATCTAACACAATCTTATGAATATTTTGGCATCATTACAAAAATGAAATCTGGTCGCACTGGCGGGTGCGTGGTGTCTGCATTACAAACAAGATGGGGGTAAAGATCATGCTTTCAATCTGTGCAAAAAGAGAAAAAGAAGAGACAAGCAAAGTTTGTACATCAGTGAGAGAATAGATTATGTGCCATCTATAACAAGGATCTCGTTCATAGTATCAAAACTTTTAAAGAACAAAGAATTTGGTTGGCTGAATGCAATTAAGAGTTTTTCATAAGCAAAAAAGATTTAAGCAAGCTTCACCCAGCTTTTGTACGGGACAAAATAATTCATTCAATGATGAATTGAAACTTGAAAAATAATGACTAGGATCACAGAGATCTGAGATTTTTTCTCAGAGGAATTCTACCTGGCGAGACAATGGCTTGGATTCTCGCAGCAAACCCCAATTCTGTCGATTTAGAGAGCCTAATTCCCACCTACAAAAAGATAGAAGCAGGTGGGGAAAGCAGAATGGCTCCAGAAAAACTTAACCAATCTAAACAGATATAGCAATAAATATGCTTGATCTTGCAAGTTTCGAGTTACATGAACAGCTGCAAAGATGTGGCTCCAAAAAACCAAAAACATATAAGTCTAGGAAGCAAGACTGATTTAAGCATTGCAGGAGAAAGGAGAGAAAAACAATTTTGACGGAGATCCGAACAAACCATGTAAAAGGGTTTCCTTTCGATAAATTTTTGCCCACAAGTTAAGACATCATTGTATGTTGCTAATTTTCATATTAACCCAATCCATATATTGAAATGAATCAGCTTTTGTATCTTATACTTCATTCATTTAAGAATTTGCTCAATTAGGACATGCTATTTGCACTATGGTGGCAGTTTCTATATTCGCCAGGCCCATGATGCCAATCCCAGGAAAGCACCACACCCAATTTTTATAAAAAATGTGGATCTATAAAAATTTCTTATTTTAGGCCCTGGTGTCACAAGGGTCTGTCACATCAAGGAGAGACTATGGGCGTGAGTCGATGCCCGTTCTTCGATGCGTGTTCGTCGATGCGTGTTCTTCGATGCGTGTTCGTCGATGCGTGTTCGTCGATGCGTGTTCGTCGATGCGTGTTCGTCGATGCGCGTTTGTCGATTCTCATTGATGTACGAATACGTAAATTCCACCACACAAATTTAGGGGTAACACCATTTGCTGCAATTGCCGGAACGACCAAGGGGCAAGGGGGTGGACTTGACTAAAAGGGCATTTGAAAAATATTTTCCAGCTACCAACAATTCTTTCGTAAGTGTCATTTTGTTTCAATCTTCCGTGGGTATCTTGAAAATCGGCTAATTTTCGGCATAGGAAATTTCTTCACAAGTTTGGAATGTCATGATAAATAGGGTACAAAAGTCAGGACTTCATATGAATCTCTTTGATTTCCTATAAAACAGGGCCGCCGGAGCCGGGGGGGGGGGGCACGGGGGCACTTTTTCCAAACCTCTCTTGTTTGGAAAAAGTGCGCAAAGTGCCCTTTTTGAAAAAAAATTTTAGGTGTACTTTTTTCAAAGCCAGATATTTTTTCTTTAGACGCCAAGTAAGGCCTGGTTCAAACGTCGCGCTTCATATGTGCCGAACCCAACTCTGTTTGGAGCGACACTTGAGCATGTTTAGCGCGACTGCCGTTTCAAACGTCGAACTTAATCATGTCGCGCTAAATGGGTCTTAGGATTGTTACATGAAGTATCTTGGTCAAGACACGCAATCTCAAATATTTGTTTGAACGCATGCGCCCTTCAAGAAAGAAATGAATTCTGGTAAGGAAAGTAAAAAAAAATATTATTCTGCATTGAGTTCGGTACATGATAAGTTCGACGCTTGAAACCGTGCCGTACTGGAGCCGTGCAGCTCGGCAAGCTCTGCCGATCCAAACTAGTCTGCCGCTCCTAACTAAATCTGCCGTACCAAATTGATTCAAACGTCGCGCCCGTCATGTACTTAATTCTCGAGTTAGGTTCGGCACATGAGAAGCGCGACGTTTGAACCAGGCCTAAAAGAACTTAAATCAAGGCGTTGCTCCAGTGATTCTCAATTTCTAACAACATCTACTGCGAAGGAGACTGGCTCTTTGGCGAGAAAAGTTTCCTCAGTGTGTCGCCGGTTGTTTCTCAACCAGTATTCTCTCTTATGAACGCCGTGAAAACTCATTTTATTCTTTGGCCTTAGAGAGGGGACGCTTATTAGAGGGGGTGCTCAGTGGAGAGGGCGCTCATTGAAGATAGATGGATATCCACCAATAAAAAACTGAGCTTTGAAATTCAAACGAACCTTGTTTTTTCAAAAATTGATATTGAATTTGCATCACACTTTTTAAGGCAAAAAAAATTAGAAGATGCCAATTTCTTCTGAGTCGGAACCCTCGTCGATTTGCATAAACACTGGCGTAGCATCTTGAATATTTGAATTTCCAATACCATCTCTAATGAGCGCTCATTGGAGATTTTGTTCAAATAGGGAGCGCTCATTAGAGAGAGGGCGCTCATTAGAGAGAATACGGTAGGTCGACCAGCGTACTACTATGCAGTCTATATGATCTCGGAGAATTCGATTGGCCTAAAGATTACAATTTAGATGTTTAGATCATTTAGGCATAAAAGAACTTAAATCAAGGCGTTGTTTATTTTTTATCTTGCTAAATTTTGGAAGAGATAAAGACTGAAAATTTGCTTTGAAATATATAAAGACTAAAAATTTACTTTGAAATAGATAGAGCCTAAAAATTCGATTATTCCTTTCAATTTTGTACACCATATCTTTGGTTTAACTTGTAAGTTTTTGTTACTTTTATATGAATGATTGCATTAATGTGGGATTATTATTTTTGGTCTGTTGTAATTGATCGGAATATTTGTCGAATATAATGCACCTACCATAAGTACGGGGGAAGGATGTGTGCCTGCTGCAATCTCCACTTACATTAAAAATAGAGTGCATGAGGAATCATACAATTAAGCATGCCCAAGAGTGCATGACTCCTAAATGAAGCACATAGCCATTAACGCTGTGTTATTTTTTCTAAATTCCTGAATTACCATGAAAGCTGTCCTTTTTTGGCAATAACCAATATTGCGAAAAAATATATGTTGGTGCCCGTTTTATTACTTTTGCCCCCCCCCCCCCCCCCCCCCCCCATGCTCAAACCTGCGTCCGGTGGTCCTGTGTGAGAGGTGCTTCTATTTATATTATTGAGATGGTAGAGCAAGGAAACACACTCTTTACATTTTCATATCTTGATAATCATTCAAGATTTATAACTTAACTGAACGAGGATACGAAGATAACTGAACTACGCTTTACAAAGCTTCGGAGTAAATAATACTTGTCACGTGATTATAAAAGGTCATGTGATCTGGGGAGCGTCCTACTACATCCTCCCCCTTCTTATTTAAAAAAATACAGCATACGTATTTTTTTTTACAGTTTTTTTTTTTTTTTGCGTTAACGTTAATTAAGAAAAACACACTGAAAGCGACAATATCCATGTTAACGACGTAAACGAGAAAATTTGTCTACATCCAATGAGAGAA